AGTCCAACGCTCCTTGAACAGATTTGATGTGAGTGGAGCGATGATTTCCTCCAGTGTCATCCAGCAGACCACTTCAGGCCGCCGCTGAAACACACGTCGGATTCCGGCTCTCAGACGTTACTGACGATGCCGATGATCTTCTTCAGCTGAAGGTGAAGGGGGTAAAAGGAGGGACACGGGGGTGGAAGGAGGGACACTCTGGTCTGAGAGGACGACGGACGAGGACAAACTGAGGAGCAGGACAACAGGAAACAAACCAGGACTTTTTTTTCCTAGTAGATCAATGTAGATCAGTGGTTTGCAAAGCGAAAGGCAGGCTCCCCCTAGTGGCGTGGTGCTTCTCCGTATTAGTTTCATCCCTTGATTTCCCATGTTCAAAGTGAAGAGTTTAACAGATCCTCTTTAGCGTAAAGTGTTTTAGATAAAAGGGGAGTGTTGATTGGACGGTTTGAGAGACAGACACAGACGTACTGTAGCTGTTACATGAACCCAGGTTTTATTCACCGCCTCCACAAACTAACACTTGGTGTGAAATGACAGTAAAGGATCAGAGTCTACCATTGTCACGTTGGCACAAAAGGATTTTGTTTTTCCTGACCAGGTTTATTCCAGTTTTTTGTGTCCATGTAAACATTACAATTTTGAGGGAAAATAAAAGTCGGCGCCAGCGCTTTCACTGTGACGGCCGCCTGATAGAATCCACGGGAGACCGGAGTCGACCAGAGGTTTATCAGCAGCAAACAGCAGCAGCAGCAGCTCACAATAGGAATGGTAACTGGAATTTAAATCACAGGGTGTGAGACCCCGTCCTTGTTGTTCCTCTGTCTCAGTCCCGCCGTGATGCAGAATATTCTCAGCTGCAGACTTGGATTCTGCCGCCTCCATTTTACACCGCGGAGATTCCCTGGACTGTTGTGTTGTAGTGATGGAAACACTGAGGAAAATGTCCAGGTCGGTCTGCCACTTCCTGTCCAGGTCGGTCTGCGTGTCCACAGCACTCAGGCCTCCGTCTGGAAATCTTTTCCCAGGTCGGTCTGCTCGGTCTGCCACTTCCTGTCCAGGTCGGTCTGCCACTTCCTGTCCAGGTCGGTCTGCGTGTCCACAGCACTCAGGCCTCCGTCTGGAAATCTTTTCTTTTTCTGCCTCAAAGTTAAAGATCCTGGTTAAATAAAAGATTTCAAACTCAGACAAAATAAAAATTATTTTTTGAAAATCCAAAAATCCACCAGGACCTGACAGCCAATCACTGGTGAGGTGGAACTTTTTGGAGGTAATGAGGCGAGACAGCCGAGATGTTGGACAAACTTAAGTGAGCGTGTAAAATTCAAATCCCAGCGTTCGCCTTCTCTTACTCCCCCTCTGCCCGTGGACCCAGAGGCCGCCTGATCTGTGGCTGCGTGCCGTGTTAGCAGATGTAGCCAGGATCTGCAAGACTTATTTATCTAGTGATTTTTCACATGAGCTGCAACAACAGCAGAAGCGGAAGAAGAAGACAAAACGGAGACAAGCGCCCGCGGGCTGGCGTCCACAAAGACGTGTCTCTGCAGTGAATACATTAGGTTTAGTGGCGACACACAGATAACGCGTTATGCTAATTTTCTGTATTACTTTGCCGTTGATGGGGACGGCGGGGGGCCCCCCG